TTCTTTCTTTCTTTCTGAAGTATAGTCAGTTTACAATGTCGTGCCAATTAAATAGATTTTCTAACTAACAGAAATACCTTCCTAATTTATAAACTTCAAGTAACAGTCCATACTAACAGGCAACATTTCCTCCATACCCCTGGACTAGAAGTGAGGGAGAACAGGGGGATTTGCTCCAACACTCCTCTCTGGTACTTCATCCTCCAGCGGAGCACAACTGAGAGCTGATGCTTGGGCAGGGAACAGGACCTCCCATGCAAAGCGGGATGAACAAGAGCACCTGCCTCTGAATCGTGCAAGGACAAAATGAATGCGTGCACGTCGAGCATTAGATCAGTGCTTGCACGCACACGTCTACAATTGCTATTATTATTTTAATAAAATGAGATCACGCTATATATTCTATTTGAAGCCTGTTGTTTTAACTCAATAATACCTGTAGAATATCTTTATTTTGTTTTATAACATCCTTTTAATGACCTCAGAGAATCATTTCATATGGATATACTACAACTGGTTTAATTGATCTCCTGCTATAGGATTTTTAACTTCCTTTTCTCTTCTCTTCTTTTTCTTTCCCTTTTCTTTCTTTTCCTCTTCCTTCCTTCCTTTCTTTCTCTTTCTTTTTTCCTCCCTTCCTTCCTTCCTTTTTCCCTTCCTTCCTTCCTTCTCTACTGTTGTAAACAATGGTGCAGTGACCATCTAGGCAGCTAAATCTTTGTTCCCATTCTTATTTCCTTAGGATAAATTCAAAGAAAATGAAATTACTTCATCAAAACTATTTACATTACTAAGGTTTAGCAACATTGCCAAATCCTTCCCATGTTTTTGCAGAATTGTGCATGTCCCACCTCCTGCCTACAAGAGTAGGTGTCAGGATTAAGAGCTGCCAGCTGTGTTCTCCTACCACCCAGAAAGCACAGTTCACAACCCTGGTGCTTACGAAGTGGTTCCTGCCTTCTGCTCACACCTGGGCTCTGTCCCACACACCCTCTCTGAACCTGCCCACGTTCCTCTGTTCAAGTGACCTTCCCTGAGCTCCACGCTGATATCTTTCTATCAATTTCATCACTTCTTCTACTTGTAGTGAAATTTAATTCTATATAATACTGGTGCTTCATAATTTCTTCCACTGGATTGCAAGATTAATTACTGCTGGAGAAAAAGAAAGGTGAGATTATTCTATTTGAATCCACTTCTCTACTGATAAATCTGCTCACGTACCTTTTCCTGAAGGTTTGCTTCTCTTTTCCAAAGCCAGCAAGGCCTCACTGATCCATTCTCCTACCATTTCAGCTGCTGCAGGGAACCACTGGCCAGAAGGCAACACTGAACCCCACATAGAAAACATCACCTTTGATCAGAATCAAGTGGACTTTTCAACAGTGGTCTCCAAAGAAGGTGTGATGGTTCAGACCCCCAGAAAGAGGCATGCTTCTTCAGATGCGCCAGAAAACTTCACTCCACAAACTGAAACGGCAGCTGCTAGAGGAAGAAATGACTCTTCAAGGACAACAAATTTCACCATTTCCCCTGTTGGGGCTGAGAGATCCACAGCTCTGACTTCCCAGAGCATCACCTTAGGTGAGTGTGTGCTGATGGTGCTCATTTCAAGCATGCATGTCCAGTCCCAGAGGACAGAACTTCGGCCAGTCTTTGCCTTCCCCCATCCCAAGTCACAGTGCCCAGCCAATCGTCTTGGGCTGGGGTGGACCAGACCTGTGCCTTGGGTTCCACCTGTGGCTCACTGTGGTTAATTGAGTTGTAACTATAGATGCACAGATGGGGGTGCAGATTTGCTGAGGGGCCTGACCAGTCCTGGGGAATCTATGTTCCATGGCCAGGCTGAATCTGCGCAGCTTTGGCGGCCCTGCCACACGCTGCAGCCTCATAGGCACTGGGTTTGGCGGACTGCGTGGCTGTGTGGCTCAGATGGCTGTTCTTGCCCCAGTCTGCACAGCTCGGTGGTTTGCCATTTTTAGCAAAGGATTGCACAGTGGAGCTGGAGCTGGTTGAGCAAGATTTGATTGAAGAAGGGAAGACAAAGAAAGCCAGCACCAACTAGGTCTCCATACCAACATGTCTTATCTCTCAATTCTCACGGCAAGCCCATGAGTTAACATTACTCTTATTCTTGGAATTTGGAGACTGAAGCTAGAGAAATTAATCAAGCCAACGTGTGCAGGGCAAACAGCTAACAGGTATCAGAGCTGGGATTTGAGCCTAAGTCTGTGTGTCTGATCGAGGTGGGAGGGGTGGCTGAGGAGTGGGATGTCCAGACCATGTGAACAAAGATACAGAGGAAAGGAGAGAAGCGTGGCCTCTTTGTGGGGAAGATGTAAGTGACACATACAGGAGAGTAGCAGCCGGTGGAACAGTCATGGGGGTGGGCTTAGGCACAATAGTGGAGGACTTTGAAAACCAGGCAGTTTAGACTTGCTGTGGTGGGAAGAGTCCCTGAAGGTTTTTGAACAAGGCAGTGATTGCATTAAAGTGAATTTGGGGAGGGTTCACCTGGCAGGTAGGTATAAGATGTCTGGGGTGGAGGGAACCTAGAGTCAGGGGGACCCCCAGGCAGACACAGAAATCCAGGTGCTAAAATATGGCCTAGTGGCCTCAGGGATGGAGAGGAAGGGGTTGGTAAAGACGCTTCACAAAGGATAATTGATACAACTTGGTAATGGCCTAAAAGTCGAGGATGAAGCCATCAAAGATGGCTGCATGGTTGCATGCCCTAGGGGCAGGAGGTCTGGTTGGGGGACTCAGTTCTGTAAAGAGTATTTTAAGTATGTTAAGTTCCATTCACGAATGATGGATACAGAGCTTAGAAACTGCACATAGTGCTGCCTGGGTTTGTTGGTCATCCAGACATTGGAAACTTTGTGTTAAAATCGAGTGAATTCTGGGACCGCTTTGTGGACTGTGACTGATGAGTCACGCCGGTCAGACGCCGACCTCCGATTCTATATCGGCTCATACTTAGCTTCATCGTGCCCCTTTCCTGATAATTTTACCACAAAATGCAGAGTCTTTGTGAGATCTGAAAACAGTCCTTGTTTTGGCTTGTGGTCTCTCATTCAGGAGGCCATTTTTTATAGAATGAACAATTGCTTCCACTTTCTTCTCGTGTCTGTCTATCTTAGAGAGGTCAGAGGTGAGCCCGCTCCAAGATTATTCAGACATTGGGAAGTCTGCTGGTGGAATTTTAATTGTTGCTGTCTGCTTTCAGCCTTGGGAGGGCGTCCCCCGCCATCCAGCAGTGCAGGGTCAGAAGGCAGAACTGCCCCTTCTCACACGGAAAGCAGCACGTCCTGGGGCTCCCCAGCGAGGGGGCAGGGGCTCCCAGAAGCAATGACTCTGCACACCCAAGTGGTGGCCACTTCGGTTGTGAGCCAGTCCTCTCTTCCTGCTGTGGATGTGGGAGAAGAGACCACGCTCCCCAGGCAGAGAAATTCCTCAAGACCAGAGCAATCCTGGCTGCCTTTCTCCAGGACACCGGTTTACTCCCCTCCCTCCAGCAGTCCCACACGTAAGTACTCCTGTCCCAGCTCAACACGCTGAAGTCACTCAGAATAGAAGTACATTGCCCTGGATAGCTGGCTGGTTACACACTTGTCACAGGGGCTAAGGGGAAAAGTCATTAAGCCCCAGTGCAAAAATGTTGGAGGTAAAAATGCAACCCACACAATTGATCTCAGTGTTGAAGTTCATCTTTAAAGCATGTTTCCTTTATAAGGAAGAAAGTGACAGTTGGTTTGTTGGCTGCTCTAGGCCGTTCTGTCCACCGAGCCCTGCTTCCCCCCTCATCCCCCACCCTCCTACACACAAGTCTGAGTGTGGTAGGTGTGTGTTCTTGCACAAGAGGCCATGTTCTGGGGTGACTGAAATGATGATCATTGTGTCCTTTGATGAGGAGTTATATTTGTATTTCTTCGTTATTACAAAAATGTTTCTTTCAATGGCAAAGATGACATAGATGTACATTTTTCTGGGCATCATTTCAAAAAAACCATAGATGCAGGTGTTTACAAGGTCACAGCAATGGAGCACATTCCAGCCCTTGCTCATCAGTCCAGTGTCCCCACAGATGTTCCATCTCCACCAAGCTTATTGTCAACCTCTGATCCTCCGTACCATACACCCCGTCACACTACATTATCTAAGCTCCTACCCAGACAGACTGTCATCATCTTGAGGACATGGGTTGTGTCTGCTACTCTCTCGTCCCACAACAAGGTGCAGTTGATGAGTAAGGGGATGAGCATGTGCCCACGCGTCACAGGCTCTTCCAGCCACAGACCAGTCCTGGAAGCTCTGCCCACCCTGTCTCTTCTCCCAGCTTGTACTCCACGTCTGTGTGCTGCCTGTGTTCTCACCCCTGTGCTGCGGGGAGCAGGACAGCGAGGGCTGGAAATATTCCTGGGAAACAGTGGTTAGGTGGCTTCAGAAACTGCCATTTCAAAATTTTCATAGATCAGAGGGTTTTAGAAGTACTTTGCAAGATTAGGGGTTCAGGTTTATGTCATCAAAGCAAAAACCGGACCCAGAGGTCCTTTTGGTAATGCCTGTTTAAAGCAGCCAGTTCCCCTTCCATATACTCTGTATATGGTTTCCTGCCAACACGGATGTATATAATTTATGATTCATATTTTTAGGAGATGGCTTTTTAAGATTATTCTTAAACATTGGTTAGATTGGGTCAGAGCTACCATCCTTTCCAGCTTCAAAGTCTGTGGTTCAGTGGTTTACAACCAACTTTACTAAATGGTGGAAAGGAAGCATCTTCTAGGAAGCTACCCTTGATTCTGGTCGGGGTCATTTAATATTTACACTTTAAACCTGGCCCACTACTGTGGTGTGTATACTGTGGTGCATCTGAGAATTGTTCTGTGTTTCCAGCTGGTGGCCTTGACTCTAGTCACTTATATTTTTTAACATTAAGAAAGTAATTGGCCCTCAAATTTTTGAGCCTTCATCCTTCTTGTACCTTTTACTTTTTGAAGAGTTCTCCCATATCATTCCTCTTCCTCAAGTCTTTCACTGAGCATTTCTCTCCCTTCTTAGTGAACTGGGTGTTCTGTGCTGGGTAGAGTCCCACCCTCCCTGTTAGATACTGGAGGGGGCTTTGGGTGCTGGTGAATGAAGGGATAGCCAGGCATCCAGGAACACCTGGATCTAGCCTGCCAGCCTCCCCTCCTCCCTGTGGGGTGGCAAAGGGGATGTGCACGAGGACCTGAAGCCACGTGGGAAACGAAGCTTTGCTTTATTTGTAAGGCTGGGCTAGTCCCTGCTAACCTGCTGACCAGAGCTCTGGTGTGCCTCCTACTGCCCCTGAAATCTAAATCTCAAGATTCACAGGATCCAGGAGCACTAGGCACGCAGGCTAAGAGCACTGGCAGGACTTGCCAGAGGCAGACCCAGAGGCACCCAGCCCAGCTGGATTCTCCGTAGAACCAAAGCCAGGAGAGAGTCTAGCAGGCCGTGTGGTGACACTTGGCCACTGCATCCACTAGCAAATGTGGCCCAGTGGAAGTCCTGGCACTGAGACCAGTCAGATGAGTGATGGTCCTCACTGGGTGAGCACTAGGATGGTCAGCCAGGAGCCCAGCTGATCCTAAAGATCCTTTCTAGTTCTAGCATCTGCTGTTTGAACATGTCAGCCTGCGTATCCTGTGCCTCCATTCACTCTTCACTCTGATGCACAGAAACATACAAGCAGTGCAATGTCTTCTGAGGCTCAGGTAGTTAGGGGTCACCTGCTTCCACAAATAAATCACATGCCAATAAGTGTATGTGTTAAGGCAGGTACAGGCCCAGAGAGCTAAATCAGATTTTTAAAAAGAGGTCAGAAGCCACTGGGAACTGTTTGCTTGCTGTTTTACATCTTTGCTGCTTCACAGCCTTCTATTCTATTAATACTTTCTATAATGACCATATACTATTAGACCATTAAGGGGAAAGTAAGTAGTAAAGCAGCTAACAGGGAAAAAAGCTCTCTTTTGAAGATGAAGAGAGATATGTGTACATTGAATTATGTGAGAGCGGCTACAATTGAGCACTAAATTTAGTGCTGAGTTTCCTGGAAACCAGGGCACAAAGGGAAACCGGGTGGGGCATGATATTGTCAGATAAAGTGAGCGCACAGCTTCATCCATAGGCCTCAGTGTTTGGGGGGCAGTACTTCTAAGAGGAATACTCTTGTAAGAAATGTTAATGATCATAACAGAAAATGCCTTCAGCTGCTGTTTTGTGGAAATTGTGCTAATGTTCTTTGAAAGGTGATATTTTATGTCGATTCTCAATAGGAGCTGGGGGTGTGATAATGGATCTCAACTCAGAAAATATTTCTGTGGGTAGCTAGCTAATGTGGTCCAGGTAAATTGCTTTATGGTGACTTCGCTTTGTAAAGGACGTGAGTATAAATAACTCAGAAGACTGTAGATTTAGCGTATCTTTCCCAAATATCAGCTGCTTCAGCCAGATTTTTGGCAAGTTCTGGACAGCAGCCAAGCCAAGGCTGAGCAGTGCGATGCCTGCCTGAGGTTCCAGTATGTTGTGTTGTGATTGGAGCGTGACCCACATAATTTTATCAGAGGAACAGGCGTTCTTTTTACCTCCTATCATAAAGATTAGAGAAATCTGCTTGTTTCTGCTCGCAAATAGATGGTCTTCCCATTTTTGAATGGCTGCTTCAAGGGTAGAAATGAGCAAGGAAGGGCAATTATTAAATAATCAGTAGTGCCGATCTGCTGATTAGAAACGTGGTATATTTCCCCCCAAGTATATTTAGCAGGTGCTCATTTAGTAACATAAGTGGTGATTGTAGATTAGTTTGACCAAGCATTTTCTCCTTTTATTAAGGGGCACCAGCTCTACAGAAGTGTTCACACTGCTCTGTAGCTTTACTGTGAGGATTGAGTCAGATTAAGCATGTAAAGGACTTAGCACAATATATAGAGGTGTGTATAAAGTAGTGGCACATCGTAACTGGTCAGTAAACGGCAGCTTTTACTAATGATGATGATGAGATGGTGAAGCAGTGTTCCATGGGGCCCTCTCAGGTCAGGAAAAACCTGGCCATCTTCCTTTTGTGACCTTCAGCAATTGTGACTTTTCTGATTGTATTTCTGTGGCCATTGCTTTGCTCGACAGGCATTCAGGCTAAGTCCAATAGAGCCACCACTGTGCATTGAATCGATGAAATAATACAATTTTCTGGGAACAAGTGTTTTAAAAGAGTGCCCAGCAGTCAGTGGGGCTGTTGGTGGATATAGATGATGACTCTAATGAATTTAGGCCTGATGCTAAGTGGCTGAGGGAGGGTTTGGGCATGTCTGTGTTATGCTTTCCTTTTTTTTAAGTCCTGAAGATTTTTTTGTTCTTGTGTTGAAATAGAGGTGGGTTTAGGTAGGCTGAAACCATTTTTGTGTCCAGGTTTTTCTATTCCTTTATTTTAGTTACTAGCTCTATGGATTTCCTGTATCTTCCATGTCTCCAGGAAGGTCCAGTGACCAGAGCTGTGGGCTGTGTTCTAGGTACAGCTGGTTCAATGGTTTTGCACAAAAGTAAGAGGGACCTTTTTGTTTCCTGTACCTTCTCCCTCTCTATATATATTTAATATTTATTTGTGCTTTTGGTTATGACTGCATATTGGACTGGTCTTCAAGAAACCATTTATAATGAGAACCTTCTTCTTCCCTTTTCTGGGTCATAATTAACAGTTTGAAGCCTTTCATTTTATAGGTATGGAAAGTACTTACTTTTTTTTGGCTTTGAAAAAAACAGCACTCTTTCTTCTTGCTTTTGGATCTTGCTCACTCACCAAGCTTTTTTTTGTGTAGTCTATTCCTGTTTGGAATGAGGATGTTAAGTGCCCTTCTGAAGGTCACTTCTCAGGGTGTCCTTTGGAAAGTTCTTTGTCCGGGAGACTTTGTGGGCAAGCCACTGTACTTCTGCAGAGCAGACTGCGCGTTTTGACCAATGGTGTAGAATTCAGTTCCTGAGGTTCTCGACAGTTAACCCAGTGTCTGCCACGCATTTCATCAGAAAAACTGCTCCCAACCTGGTTTCCTTGACCTCCTAGGGGACCACTGTCATAGTATGTGGGCTCGGGGGCCAGTCTCCAAAGCCTAATGAGGTGACTACAATAATGGAGCCTGTTGCTTTTGGGTGGAATGAAATCAAATCATTGGAGTAATAATGAGTGTCTCCTGTTGATTAGAAGCTCTGTTCCACAATAAATGCAGCTCGGTAACAGTCTTTCAAAACGTAAGGTTTATGATGGCCTTGGGCTGGGCAATAATAAAGAAGCCTTGATGGTGATAGAGCTGGAATTACTGTTCTAGGCCAGCATTTTTCCGGCTGGGGTCTGAGAGCCGTAGGCCTCCACGGTGGTGACCTGGGGACCAGGCACCCTACAATGGACCCACTTTTATTCAGTTTTATGTATAGGTTTTAATCTGTAACAGCATTTGAACAAAAGGGTTACCCTGCTAAAACAAAACAAAACAAAGCAAAAACCCGTACTGTAACACAATGATCTGTCCTATATAAGCTGTAAGGTGGAATTCAAAAGCAGAAGGTTTGTTTCCTCTGTAAAAATCAATGCAGATCATGTCTAGAGGCTTTCTCCTGTCTTCCTTCTAGCCTGATCTGAAGCTTCTTGTACTCGATGAAGGACCGCAGGCTTCTCCACTTAGCTCTGTGAGGACTAGCGCTAGTGAGGAGAGGGCGAATGCACATATCACATGGGTTTCTCTAGTAGGTCCACGTTTATCTACATCCATCTTTCAAAATATAATTAACATTAGCTGTCTCCAGATACACCCCTGATGAGTCTTGAAGCTTATTTTCTTCTGTTTCAGCTTCTGAAAGCACAGAGGATTTAAACAATTCCACTGCTCTCCCAAGCATCTCGGTCAGTGGGACAGGGAGTGTGCAGGTTGCCACCATGTTCCCCAACGGTGCCCCAAGGATGCTCCAGTCTTTAAGCGTCAGTCTGGGACCTCCACCTGAGACAGAGCATTTCTCTGAGGACTCTGAAACTGCTGCAACTTCAGCATCAGTTCATTCTTCACCCTCTGGGGCAGACTTAAGAAGAAACGGTGGAGAAATCGGGAGCCTGGGGGAGAGGAAACTCATTGAGCCATCCACAGAAAATGGATTTGGCCTCACATCTTCTGAGGTCTCAGTGGTGCTTTTGCAAAATGATTCCCTAAGTAAGTCTTCGATCTTTATTTGATTTATTATGAACATTTTTAAATTGTCGAATTTTCTCAAGTAATCACTTAAAGACCATTTGCAGTCTCTAGAAAAAAAAAAGCCTGTGTTCTTGGGTAACACCGTCTCCTTTATCTGGTATACCCCATTAGCTCACTTGATTTTCCTTATGACAACACTGTGAAATTAGTCAAGCAGACATCATTCTTCCTGCTTTCTTGTAGAGAGGAAACAGGCTCAGCGAGTTTGAGCAGTGGGTGCATGCTCACCCAGCTCCTTCACGCAGCGCTGAGACCCAGGCTCGGAGCTCCCGCTGCTGATGGATCTCGTCACCTGCAGTGTCACCTTCACACTGAGAGCTGGCCCGCTCTCTAACGCTAGCTTCAGCTATCTCATGTGCAGATCACCTTCATACATAAACTATAAATATATTTACAAATATATAAAACATATACATCTATTCCCCAAATTCAGGGTTTTAGTATACCCTTATAGTTTTTTTGTTTGCTCTACTTGAAAATTTGAATAATCTTTATTAATAGTACAACCATCCTAGAAAAATGCTCTGAGGACTCTATTTGGGCACGTCGTGTTTGATGGACATAGCAACATACTCATTCCCACATACTCACCCATGTTTTGGAGGAAAGAGAATAAACCCCTCAAGCCTGTAAGTTGCTCTGCTACTTTGCACATGCAGTTTATTTTATTTTGAGAGGGAGGAGGTAATTAGGTTTATTTATTTACTTATCTACTTTAATGGAGGTGCTGGGGGTTGAACCCAGGACCTTGTGCATGCTAGGCATGCACTCTTCTAGTGAGCTATTCCCTCCCCCTGCACATGGTGTTTAAAAGCTTCCGTATTCACCATCTTTTATTTTTGGCATTGCTCTCTTCCTGACACTGAAGAGTTTTGAAATAATAACTTAGAACATGAAAGTGCATGTCAGGTTACACATTTAGGAAATACTACGTAAGGTCCTTGCAAAGGGAACCTTCTCTTAGGGAAGACTTGCGCCTCGGTTGTGGAGGGATCTCCCTGATGTCCACATCATGGCCTTTTCTCTCTGACACTTTTCAGCCTCAGGAGGACACCAGCTTGCCAGCCGCTCTGAGGCAGGGAGTAGAAGCCCTGTGTCTCAGACTGAGACTGCGCCTCAGCCAGCCCCGTCGGTCAGAGGGGGACAGAGCACGGCCCACTGGTCCTCCACCAACCGAGGGACGTTCACAGATGTGACCAGAAGTGTTACTTCCCATCCTCAAGTTGTGAACTCTTCAGTTTGGAGCCAGTTCTCGGCCTCTGCCCCACAGTCTAGAGGAAGTGACACAGCGCTGGGTGACAGGAGTTCCTCTGAGCCGGCCACCGAGTCCTTGTCTTCATCTTCGTCTTCCTCAGAAAGCCTGGACTCCTGGGCACCACATGGGGAACGCTGGAGTGAGTCCCTACTTCACAGAGCCGCACCCCACTGAAGGGAGGGGGGCCTACCAGGCCAGGGCCTTCTGCAGCATTAATGAAACAGCTCCTGCAGGCCCCTCATTATTCCCAGGCCTTCCTTCCAGCTGTTGATACACCTATAGCAGTATATCCCCATTGTTTCTGTTATGTCTCCAAGATGCTGCTGTGGCCGTCTGTCCCTCCCATGCACAGCTCAGGGACTTCTCTGTCTGTGTCCTTCCGCTCCCTACAGCCCACCCTGCACGCCCACACCTGCCTCAATCACACAGCTTCTGGAAGGTGAAAATATCACCTACTGAAGTGTACAGTTCGGTGGTATATTCGCAAAGTTGGGCAATCGTCACTGCTATCTAATTCCAGAACATTTCCTCACACCAAAAAGAAACCCTGTGCTGGTCTCTTTCCATTCTCTCCTCTCCCCAGCCTCTGACAACCATGAATTTACTTTTTGTCTCTATGGACCTGCTCTTCTAGACAAGTCTTATAAATGGAATCATACAGTATATGGCCTTCTTTTTTTTCCACTTAGTGTAGTGTTTCCAAGGTTCATCTGTGTTGTGGCACGTAGCAGTGCTTCATCCCTTTGTATGGCCAAGTAACGCTCCGTTGTATGGATGCAGCACATTTGGTTTATGCTTTTGTGGATCGCTGGATGTGTGGGTTGGCCCCACCTTTTGGCTATTATGAACAGTACTGTTGTGAACATTCAGGTACAAGTTTTTGTATGCCCGTATGTCTTCAAATCTCTTACAGAGAGATTTGAACTGTTTTCTGAAGTGGCTGCACCATTTTTTATTCCTATCAGCAAATACAAAGGTTCTAGTTCCTCAGCATTTTTACCACCGCTTGTCCAGCTTTTCGGATTCTAGCCATCCTAGTGGGTGCGAAGTGGTATCGCAAGTGGCTTTGATTTGCAGTTTTCCCAGGCTTACTAATGATGTTGAGCATCTTTTCTTGTGCTCACTCACCATCTGTATATCTTCTTTGGAAAAGTCTATTTAGATCTTTTGACCACTATTTTAAATTGGGTTATTTAGCTTTCTTTCACTGAATTGTAAGAGGCAGTATATATTCTGGATACGAGTCCTGTAGCAGATACACCATTTGCAGACAGTTTTTCTCCCATTCAGTAGGTGGTCTTTTCACTTTCTTGATGTTACCGTCTGCATCACAAAATTTTCTAAGTTTGATGAAGTCCAATTTATCAATTTGAGAAAGATTTTCCTTCGATGTTCCTTTTTAATAATGTTTTTGGGTAGTTTTAAAAAATAATTCTCAGCAGCCTTAGCAATGTAAATTGTATATTGACCGAAGCAAAAATGCAGTAACTTCTCATTTAAGCATATAATAGGTTTAAATTCTTATCTCTCCACCACTAATGACAGAAGCTCTATCTCCCCCACTGAAGCATCCTGACTGATGAGGAAAATCAGCACTTATTACTACTGATGTGACGTGGAAAAGCATATGCTGCGTCATGAAAGAATACCACACGTATGGGTGGAGGGTGTTTGTGCATGGAAAGCACGTTATCTGTCTTCTAGACAAAAGGAACCCTCTTCCACCCTACCACGCTGGGGTTCAGAATTTTTACCTTCTCAGATCAGAAGCATAGGTTCGAAGGCTTTCCTTCTGTCTCTTCAGTACTCTTCACTCTGCAGTCAGTGTGCAGTGCGGTTGTGTGGAAAATGTGGTCTCAGTGTGAGTGGACCTTGGAGTTCAGTTATGAAGCACTAAATAAGGAATAGCCTCATTCCTGAAACCATCTCACTCTGGGTTAACATCATGCTTTCTCACTTCTCCTTGGAATCTCTCCAAGCGGACTGACTCTGCCATCCAGCTTTTCAGAGTTCTTGGTTCATTCGTTTTTCCGGGTTCAGGTGCAGCCTCTCTGTTTCAGGTCATGACTCTGCGAAGTCTGTCAGCCTAACAGGGTTATTGGCCTAAGTTTTGTGTAACGGAGCCTGTCCTCTCTGCCAGGGAAGTTGTGCTCAGGGGTGCTCGACTCTCCAGCCTCTCCTGGCGGACTTTCCATGGGTCTTCAGCCTGGGTCAGATCACATCCTGACTGGGTGCTGGCTCTCTCAGTGCCGCCCAGGTCACTGTGTCCCTGTCCCCATGCTCATTCCTGCCTGTCCATCAGTGCAAACCTACCATGAAGTGACCTTACCTCTCACTCAGCTTTACATCCGTTTTCCAGAAACATAGGTCCATGGGGTATCAAGGACTAGTCTGGTCTGGGAATAGGAATAAGAATCAGGAAAGAGCCTGTTTTTCTCATTAGAGCCAGATTATGAAGTATTTAGGCCAAGGATAATTGGACTGCATTTCCATCGTTTCTGAAAAGGATGGTTTGTTTGATAATTTAATAGACTAACCTAAGATTCTTTAAGTTTATAGCATAAAACATACCCAAGGAAGGAGGAGAAGGGTATTTATTCATGTGTCACCTGTTGCATCCCCACCAAGGAAATAAAACAAATACATTAAAAAAACAAAATGAAACAAAAGCCAAGCCCACCTGTAACCTCCAAACACAATGCCATTTCTCACTGGTATGCTCAGGCAAAGGCCTCCACGGTAGAATGACAGGCCCTGAGTCAGGTCCTGGTTCGCTGGTCCCACCAGGAGGTAAAGCCTACGGGGGGATAGCGGCCTCCCTCCCAGGGACTAGTCAGGTCTAAAGCCCCACCCAGCAGGGTTGTCAGTCTATTGCCCACTGTTCACCTCCCCCGCTGCCACCTCGTTTCCCTGACATAAACTCTATTTATTATGTATCACAGAGCAGAAATACAGTATTGATCCTGTTCTCTGAAGTTATAAACCTTTGCATAAATCCAGGCCACCTGGGCAGATACGCTGATCCCGCAGTGCCTCCTGAGCTTTCAGTCACTGATGCATCTGCAGGGGCGTCACACATTTTGGTTTTTCACCTCGTCAGTTTCAGATAGACCCTGAGCAAGAGTGGGGACACGTTCTGGCTAACCCAGTCCAACTCTACCCCTGCACTGACCGGCCTTCCCCTTCTCAATCCTCTTGCAGCCACTGAGGACAGTCCCGAGCTGGCAGTCAGGCCCGAAGCAGAGGATTGGACTTCGGAGGGGGCGTCCGAAGCCCACGCTCACAGCCCGCACACTTGGGCCACTCTCATTGGAGTCGGAGAGCGCACACTGCGGTCTGTCACCAACCGGAGCACGGCTTCTGAGCTTGTGTGGCTCTGGGCGGCGGAGACCACGCCCAGGGAGACGACCACGCCCAGGGAGGCC